AAAAAAAAATATGTACAGAACGGAATGAAAGTAGCGACATGTACATATACCGTCGTGTAGGTAGAGAGTCAAGTTACATTGTGAAATAGAACCCACTTTTCTGTCATGTACCGGCACGGAGCTATGAGCGAAAATCCGATTCTGTACTTTTTAAAACTTTTTTAAATATAAAAAAAATGTATATAGTCTGAGTGGAAAATATCGGTTAATATACAGGGAGTCCAGCTACAATATGCAACAAACTCAGCTTTTCGATCACATCCGGGAGCGGAGTAGTAGAGCAAAAACGATCGGAGCTATAGGTTGAAAACCGATGTTGAACTTTAATGTTATGTTTGATGATGTACTTCTTTTTAACGTAAAAAAAGCATATATAGTACGAAGTGAAAGTAATGCTATGCTTACCGTTGTATAGGTAAAGAGTCAAGCTGCGATGTTCAACAAGCCCTTTTTTTCTACCGTCGGGTAGGTAAAAAGTCCATCTATGCTGTGCAACAAACCCCCATTTTCTATCACGCCCGGGAGCGGAGCAGTAGGGCAAAAACTGAAAAACAATACGTCCAGCCTAGTTGAAAAGTTATAATAACGAGTCCTTCGGCCTCGTGTAGGGGAAAAAGCCAAAATAACGAGACCTGCGGTCTCGTTTTAGAACGAGCCCAAAGGGCTCGTTAAAACCCCCCCTTTCCTCCACCCTCCTTATATGGCATTTAATATTATATTTAATTTTATTTTATAAATAAAGTTATTTATATTTTTTATATCTTATAATAGCATCTGTATTTTTAACTCTTTTCTGTCACATATAAACTAAAAAACCTAAATTTTAAATATATCCTATTTTATACTGACTCGAACCTAGAACCTCAGAAGAATTTATTTCCTATATGTCCTACACCTTAGCCTATGAGCTATTCTCGTCGATAAATTTAGTTAGTTGTATTGCTAATATGACTTTCATTTTGTTCCATTTGCACAACCGCAATCTATAAATAGAATATTTGTGGACCGTGGATGAAAAGTAGCAGGGGTGCACTCTGATTAGTGCCGCACAAATTGAAAATGGTAAAGAACGTATATTAAGAAGATTTTTCTTTGATCAAACATATAAATGTTGACTTTGTTGAGGTCAATAATGTATAAATGCAAAGATTTTCTATTAAATTAGTGCATTGATTTGAATATGTACATTAGTTTGGTTTGATAATACTCTGGTAATTCACAAACAAAACATTTTTACGCTGCAGCAAAGAACGTATATTAATATTTTATATAATGTTATATGATTGTACGTTGTTTGGTAGCAAATTCATTACGCCTATATAAAAAGTGAAACTTTGCTTCATTTGTCTACATTTTCAACAACACCATACGTAATATTTTTTCTATTTCTCATATAGTTTGATTTTGTATAATTGTATTCAGAGAAAGTAAATACAATTTCTATTCTATTCTATTCTATATGTTGTATATTGTGAATGATATTCTCGTACGCAGAGAACGTAAATATAATAAAGCGATCTCTGTCGTACGTGCATATATTGTTTTCGTTTTTATCACAGTTCACGAATTTTTCTTATTGGCATTGCGGTGTAGCAAAGAATGCATTATCAACTTGCAAATAAAAGAGTAGCAAGGAAATCAGCGTAATTTTAGTATTAATTCCGAATAATCCAAATTGGAAGTACACTGAGCCTATAGGTGCATGAATATTGTTTTAGCAATGAAAACCTTGGAGGACATTCAAAATGAATTTCCGCTGCACTGGCTTGTGTGGAGCAACAGCGTTGAAGAGCTAAAACGGGTGTTGAAAACGGAAACGGTGAGAAACTACATAAATCATAATGATGAAAGTGATTCGAAACAAAGATTGGTGGGTTGTACTAATGTTAATGCTAACGGAGCACTGCTGGTGTTTCAAAATGTACTGTGTTTGTAGGCGCTACTTTGTTTTAATAAGGTTGAAATTTAATACAGCCAACTCTGAAAACATAACTGTGCCAAGACTAGTATTACAGCCATATGCTAATTCAATTAAGTCATATCTGTAAATATAACTTCACACTCTTTCATTACTGTAGTAATTTCCTGCAATATGAACTTTGATTAATGACAGTTAGAAAAGTATATTCAATAGATAGCAAGTACATCTGCAATTAGGTTTAGTAATATAAAGCCTTCTAGAAGGTTTTGCTTGGAATGCAGCAATAAAACTACAATAAAAGAGGTTTTAATAAGAAATTGCAAGGGGATTTTAAGCAATGCTCTGTACCAAATCATGGTGTGTACGATTCCTTCTAATACCCTAATAAAAGAACTAGTCATAACATTCAACTAAATCATCTTTCCCTTTGGCAAATATATATATAATAAGAATTCTACTTCTGCAAGTGGTCCATACCCTACTAAAATAACTAGCTATAACATGCTATCAAATCATATTTCTTTTTGGCAAATATGTATATAAATAGGAGTTCTACTTCTGCGATAGGTGGAAAAAGAAAAAATCGATCCCCGCGGGCGGACACCATTGATGTTAGCCGTTAAATTATCACATTTACAATGTGTCAAGTGCCTTTTAGCATCGAAATGTAGCGCCAGCTATGAGCATGAGGGATGGTCAAGTAAGAAAATATTTATTTTTTAATATTTAAGATAAATATTCCCCTTAAAATCAAAGTTGTTCAAGAAGCCGTATGTTCTGGAAATGAAGAGATACTTACTGCGATCTTAGAAGTCCGAGACTTGCAACGTCATGTGCAACGTGTAACGCATGTACCTAAATTGCTTCAGCATCTCTTAGATGCACCTGACTTCTATATTGAAATGAAATGGGAGTTCACATCTTGGGGTAAGCTGCATTTGATTAATGTAGATATTTATATGGGGAACCATATATTTTACTATTTTTCAGTACCCCTTATGTCTCGTCTTTGTCCTAGTGATACCTACAAAGTTTATAAACGTGGTGCAAACGTTCGAATCGATACAACATTACTTGGTTTTGATAATAATACATGGCAAAGAGGGAATCGCTCTTACATTTTCAAAGGTTCAAGTGAGTAGAAAGCAAATTTTCTTACTACATCTCAAATAAACTTGTATTTATAGTAATAATTTGATTATAACTAAAAGTATTCAAATATATCATAAAATATGGGGAGTGTAAATTCAAGAATTTGCACAAAATTGTGGAAATATAAATTGGACATTAAATTAAAGCCAACCTTTGATAACGGTATTTCAGCAATGGAATAGTAACTTTGTTAATTTTTCATAGAAATAAATTGTTTTTTAGCAGTGCAAATAACTAATTAAAAGCTGTGTTAAATTTATTTGGGAAACCCAAAAGCTTTTAAAGAGTATTAATACATTTAAGATTTGTTTTAAATAGAACTAAAAAATAATTGGAAGTTAAAATTGAATAATGCATACAATACAAGTACTCTCTGCTTATAGGAGACTCTGCCACGATGATAGAAATCGACCATGACACTCATGAGGTCACTGAAGAGCAAATGAATAGTGATATAGGAGATATTGTGGCCATACCACCACCAATTGGAGCAGTGCGTGCAAGGCTTAACGCACCTGTTATTACGAATAATATTGAAATGGACAAGATTAGCTTTGAACGAAACAAGTCTGGCATTTGGGGGTGGCGGAGTGAAAAATCAGAATCAATAAATGGGTATAGTTGCAAGGTATATGGTGCCAGTAATGTGGAATTTATTACGCGAACCAGAATGGACCATTTGAATGATGACCAAATAAAGGTAGATCATAAAAGATTTCATAGATTATTGTTAAATTTTGAAATTTTATAGAATAAATGTTCGCGCACACCTTTACATAGTTTTTTGGGAGTTGCTGATGATGAATTTCACAATACAAGTTCTAATGAAGGATTAAATTCCAAAGATCTGGTAAGATGTGATGAGATTAAGGCAAAGTGCTATAAATAAATTGATTTTAACGTTTTACCGAAAAAGTGTCGCTTTTTGATAACGGTGCAAGTAGATCCGGATATACCTTATCGTGGATTTTTTTGTATTTCCTAAAATTTCTATATATTGCTACTTTAAAGGAACAAATTTCGATCCCAACATTAGACCCAAAAAAAATGTTAGTTTTTTGATTTGTTTATCATTTAAAAAATTAGGAATGTAAAAAAAATGTGAATGAAACTAAATTTCATAAGCAGTTTAGTACAGATACGCATGTTCAGACGCACAAATAGTTGGTTTGATTTAGCTTTCTCCCAAAAATGTTATAAAAACAGATTAATTCAATTTTTTAAAGGCTTCAGAATGTGTATATAAAATTTTTCAGACGCCTCCCCTCTCCGAAACCGCGCTTTTGGATACAAGTCCCGAAAATAGCAACGACGAAGAAAACATTAGTATTAACTCTGGCACTACTTCACCTAAATATGTAATTACTCCAGAGGAATACTTTTCGGTAGATATCGATTTGAATGGGCGAGATATTGGTCGGCCAAAGAAAGTCACAACAAAGGTAAATTTTTTTTTAAAACATTTGAGCATGGTAATATTTTTAGAACCTATGTGCATACATATACCGAAGAAATCAGCAAAAATTATGTATTTACTTATAAGCAGTAATAATCAAATATAATATAAAACTTTAATGAGAAGTAGTGCCCGTAAAATGGCAACAAAAAATATATATATATATTTGTAGCTTATGATAATTTACTTAACTTTAATAGGGTTTTCTAAAATTCAACACAAAATTTACAGCAACATTGTACAATATTAATAATTTCGTAGCTTCAAAAAGTCTGCAAATATTATTTAAATGGAACTATTATGATATATAAGTTGCAAGTACTATAGACTTAAGCTTTTGATAATATTTTTTGGCCACTATCTTATGTATGAGCATCATCCCACTAACCAATTTTTTATATTATTCCGTTTTACAGATCCAGAGATTCAAGGCCAACTTATGGCTAAGCGAAGAATATCCTATGCGTTTACAGGAACAAGTTCTACCTATCCTTGATTTAATGTCCACTATGGCTAGCCCTCATGTGTCAAAATTGAAAGACTTTATCACAATGCAACTGCCATCTGGTTTTCCAGTAAAAATTGAAATTCCCCTCTTCCACGTCTTAAATGCATGTATCACGTTTGGTAATGTATTTGCAATGACAAACCCAGTAGATCATGTAACTACAATTAACGAAGGTGACCGTATAACTTGTGTAGTAGATGATCGTTGCTTTGATATACCGGCCCATTATGCTAATAAAGGTAAAAAAGATAAATACATATATACTGAAAAAAAATTTATATTGTCACTTTTTAGATGCGGATTTGCGGCGACAGTTGCCTTTGGATGAAGATGACATGTTGCAGTATGCTATTGAACAAAGTATGACAGAAACGACGGATGCCGCTGTAGCTGCTCCTCACATTTCAGGAGATTCAGATAAAGTGGATATTTGGGAGGCACTTCGTGGTCAAGGAACTGATGGGATTGTGGACGAGGATGAACAATTACAGAGGTATCCTTATTTCATGATATGTTTCGAATATTTCAACAAAATCTGATCTAATTTTTTCTTCAAATGTTTTGCAAATTCGGCTAATTTTTTTATTTTTATTATAATTTTTTTTTTGCTAATTATTGCTAATATGTACCTTTCACGCTTCCTGTAGATTAAATCATAGTAATCGTATATCCCCAAATCGGAGTATTGGTGATGCTCCAGGATATACAAAGTCAAATACAAATAATTTCCATACCTACAACAAAACGGAATTAAATAGCGTGAAAGCTCTTGATACAAATTTGTCATCTAATCGTGGTCGCTACACATCCGCACCGTCAAATCAATTTAAAACCGATATAACTTATATGAAAAAAATATTTAAATAGTTGGCAAAAAAAAAACTAGTAATCAATCTATCCATTTTCATCCGCCATTTTGATATGAAACTGCCCCAAAGTTCTTCAGATATTTAAATGTCTTATAATACTTAATACCAAATAAGGTATTTTCAGTCAAAATGTCTTTACCTAATTTTATTCACAGACTTTTGTAGGGATGGATGACTGAAGCTGTATAAAATCGGATCTCGTGAAAGATTCAATTAATTTTAATTGACTTTTGCCTATATTTAGAATATATCTGCCATGAAAGGTTTATGTCTTTCGAGGCCTCCAAAGAAATCAGTATTCCTTCACTTAATAACAACTTAAAAATTGAAAAGTTTTTGGAATTTTTTGCTTGTTTTTCAAGGTTTTAAATTAATTCATTGCGGAAATTCATATATATATTTCATTAATAGTACGGGTAAACAAATAATCAGTTAGTTGAAAACGTTTTTATTTTAACAACGCTTCTATCAAAATTACAAATCATCAGTGTTTACGAAGAAATATTTTAGAAAAAATTTGCAGCGAAAAAGTGAAACTTTCTTTGTAAACACTGAGTTCTTAAGTAGTCATTGTATTGAGTAAACGCTATTTGCTTCGTATATCCCATTCGCTTAACTTTGATGAATAGGGTACTACAAGAGTCATTATGCGGTGCAGCTCATACTACTGGGTCACCAATCACAGATGACGACGATGACGATGGTGGTTTTCGCTTTATGGATCCTGACCTTGCAATGGCTTTACGACTTAGCCGCCACGACCATCAACAGTATGAACTGGAGCAGCAGCAAGAACAAGAAATGATTGAAAAAGCTCTAAAGTTGAGTCTACAAGAGAACTGATTCACTTACTTTTTTCTAAAAGATTGTACATTTTAGTAAAAAAAAAAAAGAAATCATAAAATCTTCAATCGACATTAATTATGTGCATGCAAGCGATTATCCCTCAAGAATCAGCTATGTATATTTTCATTAGCCGAAAAGTTTGTTACAATATTTGTAGCAAGTTTAGATATTAAATATGATTAAAGTGCGTGGGAATTATACAATACCATGATTTCGATAACAATTCTATTTTTAAATTTATTGCAAGTGTATTTAAAATATAAATAGATTTGGTAGAAAACTAACGGTTACAATCATAACTGCATTTAAATAGAAAGAAATGCTAACCATCTGCTTGGGAAGTTGTGTTACATGACGGTCGTTTATAAATCCAAGAAGCGTTGTAATATTTTCAAAGACAAAATTTTAATGAAGAATTGTTTCTGAGGAATAAAAGCTTGATGTACAGCATCACTGTACACTCCCCTTTACCAAATACAAATACTAGTCATTTATGGCATTGGTAAATGTTGTAAGGCACTTGTTAAAAATGAGAAAATGTAAAGCATTCCCAGTTGTCAATATAAGAAGACTAGAAAAAAATTTACCTGTAAAAATGTCATTAACCAGCCACAAATGTGCACACAAAAGATTAAACTTATGTGAAAAATAATATTTAAAAAATATTTATAGGATTCTTATTATTATGGGAAAGAAAATATAAAACTCGCTAACACGGTATTTCTGGTAATTTAATTTTTATACTAGCTAGAAATTTTTGTTTATATGAAAGAGATCAATGCGGTCCGTTAAAAGTTCTCAGTGATAGTTGTTCAAACACGCTTTGAAACACACAAAATTTTCTCAAGCTCAAAACCTGTAAACCTCTTAGTGGAAACTAGAAGCAAAACCCAAAACGGGTAGAATTGATAGAATTTTTGGTATATTTGAGCACACTATTTGGCGGTCTTTAGCCGGTGTTATTCTTTCAACAAAGGGTGTTTCACTTAAAAATACTGATTTTTTACGCCATATAAAGAGATAAAAACTTCCAATGTTGCAGTGACGATAATACGTAAGTACCTGAATTTTCGAAGCTTTAGTTAAAACTATAATATAAATAATAAAAATATATATACCTATAAGTAATTTAGCTACATAGTTTACCAGTGTCTTATCTACATATGCGACTCCCTACCAATAATCATATTTAATAGTTTGTCAACATAAAACTTAGTTCATAGAAAATGACGATAAGATATTTTCAGTTACTTTTAATTAACTCTTAACTCTTAAATATATTTAAAGCATTTTTGCTTGTCGTGTGGTATTCGTGTTTTAAAGAGTATTGAGTCGGCGCGGTATTGAGTATTTAGTAGCGGTGTGTATCCAAACACCTAAACAAACAGTTTTTTTTATGAAAGAATGTAACTCAAATTTAAAAAAGTATTTTTACGCACCTGAGCGAAGAAGTTGATACATTTATGACGTTCCTGAAAATGTGTATCATCCTCACTTAGCGATACCGGACATCCCGGGCAGCGAAAGGTCCAACGTGATGTTACTTTTACGGGTGGTTTACGTGTTATATGAGAAACTAAAAAATTCATAGCGATATCTTCACAGTTCATGTATTCGTCGACTTTATCACGTATGGCTTGTGGTAAGTGGTACGTGTAAAAATACATGTAGTATTTATGTATAAATGCTGCTCCTGTTAGCACCATGCTGAGTTCACAACTATAATTGGAATTGTAATTCCAATTTCGATTTGAGTTCAAATCCCAAGCTAAAAATCGACCTGGGAATCCTACTACGCGGTCTCGGTGCTCTCTCCAAACTCTAAAGCCGAATAATATTTCATCATGGCGCAAGTGAGCGTCATCATCAACCGAAAGAACTGCTTCTGTTTCAATAACGTCGAAAGGCAAAAAACGGTTGTTCAAGGAATTTCGTGGGGCACGCACTACTGCTACAGGAACACCAATATCAGGCCACCGCAAATCATCAAGCGGGGGTTTGGGGGAATTCCATACAACTACAACTTTGTGAAGATATGGCAAGCCGTAAAGACGACCGAGAGAGTCCATAAGTACTTGTTCGCGTTCATATGTTAGAATTACAATCGTAAACTGTTCACGTGGATAGTTGCCTCCGAGAGCTTCACTGAATTCTTTTCCTGCTCCTCCACTTCCTTTCCCTATGGGGCGGAACCCCATATGTGACCCTAAGAACTTAGCTTCTGCTGGCAGCACCGGATCAAAAGGCAATTGTGGATACATATAAAAAGGATCAACCTAAATATTTCAACATATTAAAACATTATCTGAATGAATTGTTTACATATTTACCCAAACGTTCCATGCTTCCCCTGATTGCATACGCAAAATTGTGTAGTTTCGCCTGAACGCGGGACTAGGGTAAGGGGGTTCTATTGGTCCAAGGGATTCTTCTGGCTCAGTATCAAGTCCTACTGGTGGATCAGATTTGAGTGGTATAAAAGTATTGTTAAATACATTTTGTGCGATTATAGGAAGTACAGGTCGAGGTGGTATGCCAAGCCGATCACGTAGGCTGGCTATGATTGTATCTACTGTCGCTTGAACCGAGCTTAAATATCGCTCCCATATTAGTCGACCTTGACGTCGCATTTGCAAGAGATCAACATCTTGTATAGCACGCAAAAGAAAATGCAGTTCAGTTATTCGAGCTTTTGGCAAGAGAAGAGCTAAACGTCTCCAATCTATAGTTTCAGCATATGGCAAACGTACTTCATCCGCACCGAGAATGACAGGTATAGATCCAGACCTAAGAGCTTCGTAAAGCCGTGCTAGCATAAGACTAGAACTGATCCGTTTTTCTAATGGCGGCAGTATTAGTGCGAAGGTAGATTCCTTAAGTACTGTTTTACGAGAAGAATCTGTACCACAAAGTGACCAGTCCATAAAGTCTTCTTCATACGATTGTTCCGTGGCAGGTATACAGTGAAATTGTAATAAGAATCTATCTTGAGTAGAACCTTTGGACATCTCAGCAAGATGATCCAGAATAAAATCATCTAATGGATGCAACTGTACTGTTTTATTCACTGGCCGCAATTCTCCTTGAAAGGATAAGAGGTAAGAGCGACGAGCCGGAACCATCAAGGCACATTCCTGCCAAACGTCACCACCAGGAGGGCCAAGAATTGGAGGTACAATGAGATCATAGTTAGGTCGAAATTGATATTGTTCGAATGTGGATTGTACTATTATGGCGCGCATTGTGTTTTGATGAATGAACGCATTGGTTCGCGAAGAATGTAAATCACGTCTAGCCAAATTTAACAAAACATGATTTCGACCATCTCCACCCCAAAAAGGCAACCTGTAAAGTTTCTGAACATCAATTGGTAACTGCTCCATTGAGGGTTCTAAAGCGACTTTGTGTTCTTCTTCTTCAACTCTGTACCGATTATTTTTCATTAATTCATTTTCCAACAAGGCTTCACCAACCAATACTAGAAAGATGCACGCAATTTTGGCATCAGGCACAATGTGAGCATTATAACCGAGCGTTTGTTTGATTGTTGTTTTCAAAAACCCATCAATGTCGTAACCCGCCCGCAATACATTGTTCAAGTCAGGGTCATACAAATATACAGGAAAACCAGATGTTAAACTACAGCGTGAATGGTCAAAACAGTTGTGCATTTCGCAAGTTACTTCAAAGGATGTTGTAGGCATTTTTCTGGGCAATGTATTTGGATATAAAGTGCGCGGTAAAGCTAAATCTGGTGTGTTCCTTTGGATAGCTTCACGCTGTGCCACTTGTGCTTGTTCAACAGATATTTTTAATCTTTCTAGCTCGGTTTGCTCGCGCAATAACTCTTGCTTTAAATCTTCAATTTTATTATTATATTTTCCAATATCTGATTGAAGCTTTTGACGTCTTGATTCCAGTTCACGCAATTCTATGGACACGGTACTCTATTTGAAGTAGGTTTTAAAAATTTCAAATATAAATGATTATTTTGATAATTTACAGTGAACAATCTATTTTGCCTACCTTTATGCGCAGCATTTCCTCAATACGCATTTTTAAGTCACTAGCACGCATCGAACTAAAGTCTTCATAAGCATCTAGCAGAGGTCGACTCCGATGGACATCAGTAAATGCTACATCGTTATTAGACTGTTAAATTATAAATTAGGTATGATACTTTCTTCTTATTCATTGAAGTATGAGATACAAGACTTACATTTAGCAAACTGCGATGTGCAAAAAGTGGCCATAACACTAGAATCAGTAGTATAGGCACCAATAACTTATAGAGCCTTGGAAACCGAAACCAAGTAAAGTTCATGTTGTTAGTACCACCACTTACACCATTGCCTACTCCACTGCAAGCACTACCTCCCGGACAACGACTTCCTGCATAAAGTAAATTGTTCGACAGTGACGTATAGTTATTAGGCGATTCCAAATTTAGCTTGGACATGTTTCTAGTATTTGATTGATTTTTTTTAAAACTTGGGTCTCACATAACTCTTTAAAATTAAGAATTATAAACGAATATAAACAAGCATTTATATACACAATGATTGTATGTAGGAGCGTAATACCAGAGAAAAGACAATTTATTTTCCCTCGTAATTCACAGAATACGTCGCAATCAGCTGATGAAGGTGAATTTGTTTTACAGCTGAGAATTAAATCCAGAAATCGTATATGAATTGGACGCGACAAGAGTCATAAGTTCTTTGGCCAAAGTCAATAAAAACTCTGTTCGGTGAGAAATGTCGGTAAGAATTAGCTAGCATAGAATGTAAAATTACCGCCAAATATCTCCAATCTATATGAATTCAAAATTCAATTCATATATCTTCTTTGCAAGGATTTTTTTCTACTTTATCTCCTCCATCATGTCTTATAAAATGGACAGACAAAATAAGTGTTTTGCGAACAATGATTTATATTTTCAGGACAAATAGTTATGACCTCATTCCTGTGCGTGTTAATGTTGCCGCCAGACGTGTAAGTTTACACGAAATTTTTATTTTCTCCAAACATTGTGATGTACAAAAATTCAATTTTGGTGTGACCACCATGGTTTTTTTGAATTTAATCTAAATAATTACAGATTTGAAAATTTCTAAAAAATGTTTGTTAAATTCTTGTGAAATATATAAATTTATCTGGCAAATAAATTTCGAAATTTATTATTTTGACATGCAATTTCAAATTAGTTAAATGCAATGTTTTGAAAGAAACGAAATAAAAAATAACACCTTTTCACCTCCTTCGGACAAATAGAAATTAAACTAAAGAAAAAAAATAATATATATACACCAATATGATTTTATATAATCTTTATCTGAATCGGTCTACAGATATGATTAATTTGTGCTTATCGTAGTACTTTCATACTTTAAAAACGCCACCAGACGCGATAACAATCCGAACTAAAAACCCAATATTTTACCCATCATTACATTATATTTTCTTATATCCGTGTGTGAGAAGTTAAATTGTAACACAATTTACTATTGATCCCTTTCTTTGGAGTATTTATAATGAAGGTCTTTGCAATCGTCTTCAGATATTTTAATCCAACCATCTTTCTTCAAGTGGTACACACGTACGATTCCACCAGAGTATGCATCTCTAAATGTCGCATGATAAATAGCCCGTCGCCCCAAATCGTAGGCCTCTTCATCCTTCAAGTCGTATTTGTACCCTTTATCAAGTACGCCATAAGCAAATATTGAGCCACTTCCAACGGAAAATACATTTCCAGGAGAGCGCGAACCCTCCGAGTCAACATAGTATAAGCTGGCACCTGTATCATCATACCCTGCCAACATCATTCCCATGCTCAACCCCATTCCTTTGTATTCGTGTGCTATGTTAGCTATGATTTTGCTTGCTGCCGCAACAGAGATATGCTTTTTGTTTCTCAGCTCATGCAAACGACATTCCTTTGCAAGTACTCGATCCCAATACACGCAATCAGCCGCACCGCCAGCCAAAGTTCCGAGTAAATATTTGTTTATCTCAACAATTTTCTTCATTTCCTGTGAACCAATGAACTGTCCACCTGTCGCTCGAGAGTCTACAGCCAATATAACACCACCATTAAACTTGAAACCCAAAGTTGTAGTTCCATGATCGTAATCAATTTTGATGCCATCTTTGCTACCAGCGGCGAGCATCGCATTCATTTTTACTTGCTGCAAAGAAAATTAATATCGAATGAAATATGTCTAAATTGAAGTTCGATGTACTCACTGCACTATTCGGTGGTGCCAATAGACAATACGGATTATTGAAATTGTATGTTTGCTTTAGAAAATCCATTGAATCGTTAACTGTTTTAAAGTATGGTGCGTTAGCAATTCCTGCTATATCAGCTAAAGCCATATTGAAGATTTTAAAATTATATTAATTTACCCAGTCGACGATCACAAAAAAGTGACAAGCACTATTTGAATTCGCCTTGAGAATGAATAATGAAAATTCCACGGTAAATTGGCTATTAGAATGACGGCAAATAAAAGCTGCTTCTTTTGTTTTATTTTAAGTTACAATGGAGTGTGTTATAAAAAATTTCTTTGGGCTCTTATTGTAACCAAAGACAAAGAACGTATATTAATCGTTCTTTAGTAAAAGTCATTACAATTCATTGTGAACGAAATTGAAGAACTTTTTGAAATAAGATTAATTAAATTCATTGTGAACTTTAGTACTTTTCAAGTTGTTGTTATTAAATGTTAAACCCGCCCAAACGACTGGTAAAATTTAATTTTTGAAGTAAGAATTATTAAATTCACTGTGAAGTTTAGTACTTTCAAATTTTTTGTAATTAAATGTTAATCCCGCCGTACATGGCTATTAAAATTTAATTTGCATATCTAAATCAAACATTTTCAAAAAAAAAAAAATGTTTACGATAGATAAAAGCGGTGAAATGTCTAGCGTGTTACACGTGGATATTCCACGTTTAAAAGGGAAGTCTGTGGATTCTTTAATTCGAGAACATGGCGAAAAGAAAAATCTTATGGAATTGCACACCTTATTAGAAAATACTGATACAAGGACGGTAATTATGTGCTAAGAAATGTTTAAAATTTTCTATACAACATAGTGACCTCCTCTGTGTACTTTTTAAAAAGCTTCTGGCAATTTTGAAATCGAAGTTGGGACGGAATGATAGTGTTTCGTTTTGGAGTTATTTGCTTGAAGGTCTCAGCTTTGGATATAGCAGTCGTGATATTCTTAATAAGCGGTTTTCTTGCGTACAATGTATGCTCGAAGGCTTACAAAAAGTTGAACTAAGATACAAGCTTAGCTACGATATCATAATTCGTTTATGTCAGTATATACCTACTTTTCCTTCGGATCAACTAATTACTATATTGGAATTATGTATCGATGGTATACGTATGGGCGATCGTAAATTTGTTTGGTAACGACTAGTATAGAACCTCTCAGCTGTAATTTCATCCATAAGCCCTTTATTTATAGCTGGAAAGATTTGTTACCAGATGTGTTGAATGTATTATCGGAGCGGGAACAGGTAATAAAGGATGGGATACAGATGGATGGATACGAGTTGCGTGAGAACATAATTCGTTCCTTGATGACTATGCCATGGCCTAAAGAAATTGCAACGCCAATTGCAGACATGCTTAAGTAATTTAAAAAAACTTTCATTAACTTGCGTAAAAGTATTGTTTCAATCAATTTGTTATTTTCAGGGAATTGAAATTGACTAATTCCGAAGTGACAGTTGTGCTCAGCAAATTTGGGGGAATGATCCAATCGTTGAATCCAACTGAACTTCCAGCTTTGTCTTTTCAGTTATTTTCTTTATGCACGACTAGCACAGAAGTTATAACATTACTACTAGCTTTCGAAAAATATTTTCATCGTTTCTATTATAAAAAACTGTTCGCTGATATGCAAAGTAATTCAACGGACTATGATAGCATTGGTTTGTCTTAAAATAATTGTAAGTTTATAATAATACTTACATTATGCTTTGTAAATAGATACGTATTCGGATAACGAGCTCCGTGAGGCTGAGGAGACAATTTTACATCATTTGAATTACTGCACACAGTTTAAATTTGGGGAAACGCAAATGTATTCGGTCCTGAAAGTAAGCAACATAGTTTATGAAAGATAATTTGTCTTAAAATAAATTTCTTATGAAAGTTAGATGTGAAAAAAATAATGGAAAATTTGGAATAATATTTTGAGTTGCAAATATTTTCACATAGAATAAATCATAGTGTCCATTACTTTTTTTGTAATTCGTATTAAACAATATGTTTTTACAGAATTTTAGTTCTGTTCCTGATTTAATACTGACTCCATTTATGTTAAGCTCCATAATTTCTTTGAGCTCAACAAATCGAGAACCAGAATCTCAATGTTCAAACACATCGGTTCTACTTAACTTTCTCCGAAATGTTATAAATAATAATCAGCACGAAGAAGAAATGGCAAAATATTCGGTTTGGTGCCGTGATACATTGCAACGCAAGCAAGTTAATTTAGATTACATCCTTACTGTGCTTATAGATCAAAATAAACAAGGACAGGATGTTATAACTCCTGGTTTGGTTAGTATGGCTTTTACTTTGCTCAAGACAAAGAACAACGGCCCATTAAACTCGCTGGCTATGCATTTTTTCACAAAATTTATACGCAAGCGATTCATTTTCGGAAAGGGTGTAGTAAAGAAGTTAGCAGAATGGATGATACTCGAACAGGATCAGTATCAATTCGGAGGTATGATTCATAAAGTGTTAATAAATTTTTTTACAATAAATAATATTATTTCAATGTAGAGTGTTTATTGATGCTAAGTGTAGCAGATTCGTTTACACTTTCGGAGTGCGATAAAACTATAAAATATATAATGGAATCTTTCTTGTGGGTAAGTAATTTATATTTATAGAATGTCATTTTCACGATTATTACTATACATTACAGTTGCCAGGAGATCAGTCAATGAGAATGATGTCATTTATATTACCCCTGCTAAAACTTTCTGCAGTTGTGCGAGATGCATTCATTGAAGTTTTACGTAAAGCGATAATTTCATGGTAGACTTGACTTAACTAACTTCATCAATTACAAAGCTACATAACCGTTTACTTAATCAACATTACAGTTCACAAGATATTCGCACAATGGCTATTTATGGTTTCTGTATGATTCTTAAGCAGTTGAACAGCAGCAATTCTGTGCGAACTCAACTAAGTGCTTCCAGTTTCTGTACACAACACAGTATTTCTACGTTTTCATTGATGTCTCAGGCTATGGTTAATCGTCCGAACTGTTCTCGTAATTTTGATATGCTAACTTTGGAAATAGTAGGACAGCTTAGGAACTGTCTGTCAAGTAATATTACCATGAAACGCGTTTTATATGAAAGTAAAAAAAATAATGTAAATAAATGTTGATTTTTAAAGTAATTATTATTTTTTATACATTTAGACTTGCAGCGTGGAGTAGAGCTTAATCCTAAGCTGGTCCCGCATGTGTTACAATTTATTGATTGCCATTTTCGATCATTCTTTCGAGTATCTCATGATAAAAAGGACATTGAAGACTACTGCATTTTATTTGAAAGATCAGTTCGCTCAACTACAGCGAAGGCCGATGAATTAGAGGTCCAAGACAATATTGGTCTCTTAATACAGCTTGTTAGCCATTGTTTAGCAAATTTTCAACAATTCGAAAGTGAATATAATGTAAGTGAAATAGTGCGATTGCTCCGCTTGGCTGTGACCAAGGTAATAAACAAGGATACGTATTTCGAGGAAGAGGTAAGCAATGCCAACAGGATGAGGAAACATTTCTCAACGCTGAGTAGCGAAGAATGTTTTTCTTTAATATATTTTGGTAGTCATTTTCTAAGATATCACCACTCCCCCATGGTTTGTGCATAATTTCCTATTATTTACAAACAATTCAGAAAAAATAAGTATTTAAAAATAACTTGATATATTTGTCATCATCTAACCGATTTTACGAAAGGTTTATATCCAGTGAGGCCGGTACCATTGTAGACTGAGTAGTACTCATTAAGCAATTTCTTCAAAGTACACAATTATTGTTTAACGCATCTTTAACCTTTGTAACCCAAGTCACTTTTTAACGATTTATTTACAGTCAATCATGCAAGTCGCACATCTTTACTTCTGAGTCAAAAATAAGCAGACGAAGCGATATATCTGCTATATTAGGAAAATATGATAATAATGTAAAAACTTGATTATTATTTAACACAACCTTTACATAAAAACTAAAAATAATGAAAATTTTTAGTCTCCTGATAAATTGCCTTGGTCACGCATATATCACATATTTTAAAGCCTGCAAATAAAATATGTATCTTCAAATATCTAGTTGTTTTTGTTAGAACCGCAAAAGTGTTCCACAAAGTACTTTTTGGGGCATGTTGTGGGAGTGACTTGGCCGGATAAAAATCCGGGTTTTTCCGGTATAAAGACCCGCATCTTGTGGCAGGCATGCCGCGGGTAAATTCTTGAGTCCCTAACCCGCAGGGTCATCTTCAAATATCGTCATCTTATGCTGTACTGGTGACTTGAAATTATTTTGAGATAAGTTATCATCACTTTCCTTTACCAGTTTATTATGCACCTTTGTACCGGAAAAAATCATTAAAAAGTGCACTTCTGAAGCAGTTTTCTCTGTTTTAGCCTTTGTTATAAATAACGCTTCATTTTTCAATTAGAAAAATATCGCTTTATCGGCAAAGTGATATACTTTGTGTTATTTGTGTGACCATATACTATGTATCCATGTATGCTGAAATCCTAAATCCGCAATAAGTACTAGTTCGACATCAAAATTCGTAAATCGTGCGTGGGTGGGAGGCTGTTTGGCTTGGCATTGCAATGTCTGGCTTATGTATAGTTTCGAAAAACGTGTATAAAATGCTATTTTTGTTCGTCTTTATTTTTTTACTCTTTAGAGCGACAACCCGCAATATACAAAAACCGCGTTAGTAGAAGAACATATGAACTTTTTGGAGGGATTGATATCATATTCTCTGCTCGCTTCACAACCACATAATTGCACTATACAATACATTTTACCGTTATTCAAAGCTCACTGCAAGGTCAGTGAGAAATACAAGGTAAGTTTACGAATTCTACAAAAAGAGAAACAACAGAATCCCGTCAATACTGTTTCCATAAATATACTTATTTGCTACATTTACATAATTAAATACAATGCTGAAGTCATATGCAAGTTTATCAACGAAGCAGTCACAAAAAAATCATAGAACTAATAAAGTTGATGGGTCTACCATTAAAAATTTAGCCATCAATGGATCGGTAGTCAAGAACTCTAAAAATCCTAATATGGCAAATATTTGGGACTTACCCATTATAGAAAAACTTCTACGACTTCTCCATGAGTAAGTTATTTTTATGATTAAGTAGCTTGTGATTTATAAAATATGTATGCAATTTTTTTTTAGAGATAATGTGCGGTTTGCTACAAGTGATATTACCGAACCGTTGCGATCGAATGTTGTGTTCGTGAAGTATGTATTAGAAGTATCGGCCGAAAAAATGGAAGCTTTGCGGAATGAACCGGAGTACAAACAGTTAACTCATAGTAGGCGTACTTTGAAATACCTTACAGATGTAACGAAAATTCTATATGAACGATGTATTTTTCGTTTGCGTGACATGTGGTCTAACTTTGATAAAGAGGTGGCAGCTTTGTCTTGTGAATGCTTCCAACAATGCCTACAATCTGCAAACGCAATTTATAAGAAAAATTTTGTTGAAATATATATGAAAGGTTTCGGTAAGTTTATATTTTAACTTAAATTCAACTTTTATACCCGGCCCTACTGTTTGTATGTGCTCCATTGTCTGTGACAGAATAAAATAATCGAAATATATATACATAAACGAACTAAGGTTTATAGAGAATAAGTTTACGACCCCGTGGACATCATAGAACTAACACATCAACTAACGGTCACATTTACAGCTAGTATTTAAAAACGCTGTTTTGTTTAAACTTAATAACAGTTTATGTTTGAACTTAAAAACAGAAATATGAGTAAAATTTTCCAAAATTTAAAAACCAAACATTAGTTTTTGAAATAATATTTTACTTTCTTTTTAAATAATATATGTAATATTTAACTTTACATGTTCATAATACCAAAATTGATTACTAGACAAAATTTTTGCATTCTGCCATAATATATAATAATTATAATCTGTTACGGTCGCAACATATGCCAGTTTCCTTCACTATGCAATTAGATAACACAATATTTTCAAATGACAGAAGGCAAGTGACAGAATGCTAGATTAGTAACTCTAAAGGAACTATTGTAAAAAAATTTAAAATCTTAGTAAATTTTATGTTATGAAATACTTTTTTTGACATAAAACTATTAAAGATATATTTCAACAAATACATTAATATTTCTATTTATTGGATTTTAATAAGCAATGTTTTAACCTCTTACGGATGAATCTGCTCATATTTGTTTAAAAATCTTTGACAAATCACAAAATTGAACCAACTTCGTCATTAAACATATAATTTTGCTGTTGGCGGAACGTTATTGTATACGAACTAAATGACCATATAACTAGAAATAGTGGTTTAAGTTTCCAGCAAAGAACTCACTTCAGGAATGAACATGAAATTGAGAAAAATTTTTGAAGCCGTTGTACTTACGTTTCTATAATCCATTCTTTTAACACAAGCGTGACAGAGGAGGACACAAAAAAATGTAGAAATATATGCATATTCATGAATTTAACTCTGTATAGTTAGCAGGGGCACCCAAGAGGCAATAAGACAAAGTGTCATACTTAGTGACAACTTGTTTTGCCGCCCCCTTATCTCAACGTTGTATTTTGGAAAAACAAGTTAGAAGGGAATACATTCCGGCCGCTTTAAGAGAATTTATTAGATTCGATATTTGTGGTACCAATATGATTTGGATTAGAAGAAAATTTTGAAAGAAATTAGTAGATATGTAAAATTTGTCTATTTTGTTTACAACAGAAAAGTCAAACATTCGCATATGAAAATTGTTGGACGAAAAATGTTTCAAGAGCTTTTTGCTCCGTGTTGCTCTAACTTGCTCTATTGTTTTTTTTTTTGCAGCTGCTGTATTCTGAGTTGTTGAGAATGAGACTACTTAATATTCAATACTTGGAAGTGTATAGAAAGTTCAAAAAGCAGTTTCTTTACATTAGTGCTTAGACTACCTGACCTTAATTAAAAAAAAAACTAAGCATATATTTCGCACAGATTTTGAACAGAGTTCAGAGTTTGTGTTCAAACAGATAAATAGACGAGCTTGGCTAAATCAACTCATCTAATTTTAATCCGAAAGGTATATATTTTGGTGGAAGTCTTTCTCTACCTTCTGGTACTCACATACTTCGGTTCAAAGTTTATATACAATAATATATTTTGTAGTGGCGGCCGTCCCTCGGTGGGTAAAATCAACATCAATGTTCATTATAAAAACCTATCAGCCATTCGGAGGTGGTTCGACCAATCTGTAGGTCCGTCTACTCTTTGGAAAATCATCAGGATCCACACCACAAATTTCAGATGGAACCCTGCCGAAAATCCCTGGAGCGATTTGCAAACGCGAATTATATACATGCATATAAATTAGGAACCATATACATCATGAAAGTTTTGTTAATGAAAGCTGTAAGAAAAATCAATTTACGTTGTTTGCATATCATAGAACTATGCTCCTTAACCCGTAACAACTCTCAAGACAGCCGGTTCTACGCACCGGAGTTGACCCGGATTTTATCCGGACAAGGGCTATTACCCTTTCGGCGACCTAACCCCGTTTAGGTAAACAGGTAATATGCTTCGCTGTGCAAGTGGTGCTCCGAAGAAATCAGGAGGTTTGCTGTTACGGTTTTAGGGTCGATGTTCTGGCAAGATAGAAGCTTCTTCATCTGCGTCCGGTAGTCCTGCTTCGTCCAGATAGTGGAAAGGGTGGCCGAGAAACTGTATTTGTCATGCAATGAAGAAGGGGGAAGGCCGGCGAGATAGCGGTTTACTTTTGTGCATAAGTTTTCAATATCCTGGCCAGACGCCAATATCGAGCATTTTTCGCAATACGAGAACAAATGAAACGTTCTCAGGTAAAGGTGGGACTTTCGAACGTAAAACACCCCCTTGTTTTCTCTTACGGAGTGTGGATGCTTGACCTCAAAACTACCAATGATTGTCGACCGCTCAGGTAATTTTCGTGAATTTGGGCTAGTTAGTTTAATTAAAGTTAACAAACGACAGATGGTCCACGCAAAAGAAGTTGGCGGGTTTATTAGTCGAGACTACTATGGGTAAGTGGCACGAATCTGGCGAGTTGGCGTAATTACCAATTACCAGTAATTGGTATAATTCTGGTGGGACGTCATCGTGTGCAGAACAGTTTCGCTCACACTCGAATCAATACTGATTTTCTTTGATTCAAATTCTTTGGCAGGAGTTCGAGTGCAAACATATATGTTGGAAACGTTCGAATGCCGTTGGCTTGCAACTTGTTCACAAACGAGTAACAACGAGTATATCTTACTTGTTATACTTATTCTATAATTATACTGATTTGTTTTAAGCACTGATTTATACTCGAATGTTTGCATGTTGATCTTAGCTCAGTGTGTGTCGCGATAGTGATTTAGGCATCTTTTGTTATGACACAAGAAGGAAAATGTAAGAATTCTAAAATGAAGAAATTCTTTATTTACCTAAAGTGAAATACTATTTATTTATTTGTGTTAATTAACTATACTTTTTTGAAAATCAATTACTTTTACTATGGAATACTTTCATAATATTTTAGAATTTAAATATTTACTTTCATGTTAGGCATTATATGAAAATATATAATATACATATTTGTTATAGAGGGTATAAAGGCCTTTTGTTTTTATTTTCAAAGTCAAAGTATCAAACCAAAAAATATTGTATGCGTAGTGCATCAAATTTCTGTAACCTAGTTTTTATTCTCTTGATTTGGCATGGTTTGCAGTTACAGAAATATTACAAAATTTTAATTAAAATGACTTTTTTTTGTTATTATTATTTGTTGTAGTGTGCGCAATACATACATTTTTAAATTTTTTATAGTATTATTTTTGCTTAGACGATGGACGCTACGACGTCTACATGTCTACGTTTATGTTTGTGTATACTCGATTGAATACGTGAGTGTGCACTCGATTCTATACTGTTATGTTTTCTTTCTTTTAGATCACATCAAATCGGGCTGAGCCAAAGCGAGAAGTAACAATGCGTATAATATACCAAATTTCATGTTATCTACTCAAACTCAAATGTAGCATATTGAGTCTCGTGAATGATTGTTTCCAACATTTTCGTTGCTTGTGTGCCACTCGATCCAACACAAAGTTGTCGAGTGTTGTGATTGAGCTGTACCAAATTTTTGCTAGTGTGATTGGAAAGGCTCTAGTACACCCGTTGCAGCTCTCTGGCGCAGAATGGCGAATCGTCTATCTGCTTTGTCAGCTTCATCCTTCTAGGGCCATTTGTTAGGCTAGATCGCCGCGTTATAGTCGCCTAAAACAAACGGTTATGGCCTTGTTCTGAAGATCTACCCTGAGTGTGTAGGAGTGCAGAAGGCACTGGCGTAAAAACATAGGCCGGCGTTGAGTGCTGGCAGCTCGGGGTCAACTAATCCACGCGATCCACTCTGCTGCAAGGTGTTGCTCCGTTGATGAACTTAAACTAATGCTTCCTGATGACCTAAGTAAAAAAATTGCACAAAATTCTTTTACTTATTTACTTACTTTACTGGCGTGAACACCGCTTATGCGATTATGGCCGATTTAACAAGATTGCGCCATTCGTTTCTTCTTTTTGCTGTTTTGCGCCAATTGAAAATACCAAGTACAGCTGGCCGGTCTTTCCAACGGAGTTGAGGTCTCCCTCTTTTTCTGCTTCCACCGGCGGGTACTGCATCGAAAACTTTCAAAGCTGGAGTATTCGCATCCATCCGGACCACATGACCTGGCCAGCGTTTCTTCTTGATTCGCTATATCAATGTCGCCGTATAACTCGTACAGCTCATAAATTTCTTTTAGAATTGTAATATGTGACTGACGTAAGCAACTGGCGTTACTACAAGTTATTATTAATCTCCTCCAACGTACTAGTATAATTATAATCGAACACTTACTATTTTTACAACTGACATAGAATTTCAAAGCAGCTGATTATATTTATGGCAGTAAGAGCAGCTTATATAAATCCACCTTCAAATGGAAAATTATTCTAAATTAAATTAATTAGCATTCGTGAAACGTCAAAGACTGTGGTTATTTTCTTGTTTTCCAAATCCCATGCCTGGCATTAGTTATTATTTTCTATAGAATTTAGTATTCCTGTAAGTATTTTTAACCGGTATATGGTTTATTGTAAATGACAGGTGGACCGACGGACCGACGGACAGACGAACACGGCCAAGGCAACTCGTCTCATAATTTAGGAAATATTGTGTACATGTTTAATATGTCTATATTTATCTCTACTAATGTATTTTTTTATACATATGTACAACATATTTCTGCGTAAAGGTAATAGAAATAATCCGAGTGTACGGTGTAATTCAATACATCAAGTTGAAAAAACCATATTGGTAACAGGCCACAATAACCGAAATGTTAACCACATAAAATCATACGAAAAATGGAGACATTCTAATTTGTCTTCCAAAGGATTAAGCCTTTTTTTTGCTTTATTCCATTTTTTTGTGTAGATTTTTATGCAGTGAATCGCAATAAGCAATGCCCTGAAGTTTTACACAATATAATAGATGAATTTATGGAAGAAGACCAGTCGTTTGACCCATCAACTTTAAACCGAAACAGCGATGATAGCAATTCATATCGGGATCGCATATTACATGCTTTGATCCAGTGTCTTGAAGTACTTTATGATAACATTATGTATGAAGATAGACTGAGTATTGTGTCATATTCGTGGTTATTTAAGTTCTGTCAAAATTACAAGGTAAAGTCTGAGCACATGAGTTTAGTGCATAAACTGTTATTTACGCAGCGGCAGAAAACACATTCAGGAGCGTTCTTCGACACGATAGCTTTGCAATTGTGCAACATATGGGGCGCCATATCGGATGAGCTGTATAAAACCAAGGTGAGCTCATAAAATTATTAGTTGTTAAATGAAATGAATTGATGTATGTATATTTCAAATAGTGTCCTTTGCATTTTACTCTGAAGTCGTTGACCGTGGAAAGTGCTGGATCATACTTCAACTATTTTTGCCAGGCTATGTTAAAACAAATAGATGATGTAGAGCATTTTATCGTAAAAACAAACAATATAAATTTTAAATACCGCATAATAACTGAAGATGAACGTGACATGTGCCTTAGCCAGTTACGTTCGATGGAACGATCTATCTGTTCGCAGCTGTTGCATATATCAAATGCGCTAATAAATGTATTGAATGCCTGTATTCCGTTAGGCTCGTCTACGGAACAGTTGTTAAAACTCGTCATGCATCATTATGTATGTCTAACGAATCTTGCCAAACACTTTTTATCCTCTGTTCAGTTATCGCAAGTTTCCTTACGATCAACAAAGTGAGTATATTTAAACATCATTATTTAAGTTAATTTTACACCATTTTATGGAAATTCCTTTTCGTTTATTTTTTAAGATTCGAAGTTTTATTGCGTGATATTGGTAAATCACTTCCCAAAAATATTTACGGGCTCATTACTTACATTGAAGCAAATGTTATAGATAAGGAACAGTTACACATCAAACGGTCAAATACAGAAATATATAGGACTAAAATATTACGTGAAACTAAATTACTACCAAAAATAGTATTACACTTGGAAACTTTCAGTCGATTTGTGATTGTTTTGTCAAAGAAAACTGAAAGCCGTTTAGCAGGCTTTCTTCATCGAGGAACTGTCCATGATTTTCGGTTTCGCACTGATGCTTTAAAATCGAGTGTGGAGAGAACTTTGTCCCATAGCAGTGAAATATCTGTAGATTTAAGTCCAGATAACATTTCTGAAGAGCCAACTGTATCTATTCAAACTAAGAAAAATAACAAGAAGCAAATGAACCGTAATGATGGAGCCAAGACCGATGATGAAGAAAAAAATGAAAGTAATTGCGGTCATTCTAATGGCGAACAGACTACTAATGTCAAAAAAGGTGAAAAAAGTCTTGAGGTCAAAACCAAATTAACTAAAAAAGCAAAATCGAATTGTTCAAACAAAGTAGAAAAAAAGTCAAAAAGAAAGTTACGCAGCTGTGAATCAAATGGCGAGTTCGCTATTGATGATGATATGATTGGTGAACAAACAAAATTTTCATCGCGTCGTCGATGTCAGGATAATATGGAGCACAATCAACTAACAGGTAATGAAGAGGATAGTGAGGCGCAATCTTCCCCAACACCTGAGAATATTGAGGTTCTGGAGCATGAAAGCAATAGGGATTCTGTTTCACAGCTGTACAAAAATTTGACAAAAATTAATAAAAAGACTAAGAAGAGAACACATAAGGAGATTGACCAAATTGAACCAGAGAATAGAGCGCTTCTCAAAAAACGACGAAGGTGCCATTCAGCTAAAAAATAGAATAAGCAATTACTATTTTTATTTTAATTTAATGTAGTTTATGAAATGCTCACAGAATAAAGACTAATATCCAAAAAATGTTCTTCAAGTGCTATATATGTATGTGCGTTTATTTTTTTCTTGACTGACTCAATCACCGCTAATGCTATTAAAGCCGAATGGGAATGATGAGTCATAGAAGTCATACAACGAGCTGTTTCAATTGGTTCGGACCAGAGGTACGGAGACATGCAAAGAGGCCGCAACAACAACAAAGGGAATGATTTGCTCTGAGTAGAGTCTTGTTTTTGTTTATCTAGAGAAGATTACTTTGCAATCGATAACTCAGTCCCAAGTAGCACCTGCAGGCAAGAGTGGTTTTGGATTCGACAAATTGGGGCTGACATTATTTTTGGTGTTGATGCTATGTACCTTCTCTTCTTCAAGATTTGGGGTATACCGAATATCTGATCAATGGCAGATTTGTCAGAAGGGTATATTTTTTTTACTCCGTATCTAAAATTTGTTGCAGCAGTCGACGGGGGAGCAATGCGCGTTGTAACGTGGTTTTCTCTTTTTTTTGTTAAATATAGTAGTTATTGTATTCTACTCTGCACTCCATAGGTCTGCAACCTGACGACAGGAATTGCCACTTAACAATAGGACACATTATCGATGTATGCCGACACATCAACAGCAAAATTGAGAGCAAACAGTGAAATTTAAAACGTAGAATTAATATGATTCTTGGCTTCCAAATTGGAGAATATCAGGCCCAAAACCTATTTGATGTTGGCAGGTCTAACACCTTAAATTTTCCCATTTCATTTCTTGCAATGCTTTTGCATCCACGCGTTTTACAGTATGGCGTTATTTTTATATATATTCATGATATGTCCTGTGTTCTCAACTCAATTAAGCAGAGCCACTGTTTTTATAAACTCCCCACTTGCAAATTGTGAATATATCGATAGTACCTTTACAATCTTGTTAACACTCGTTTTAGAAATATACAAGGCTATCTACTTTTTATTTACTTCTCTTTTCCTTATGTATTGACGCTTTAAATTTTATAGCTGCTCAAAAACTTAATTAGATAAATAACTGACTTTACTTCGTCATTTTGTATTTGTTTTATTGCTCTTGGCGAAAAGTAATTTGTAGTAATTTGATGAATATATCCAGGTAAATGAGCATATCTAAGAAACATTTGGTTAAAAATGCTAACTTTCCGACTCGTGAAATTAACATTGCAAGGACGTAGTGCTATCCGCATTTCAGTATTTGATATTCTGAGCGAAGGCAATTTGAAAAGTTTTGTGGCTTTTCACAGATTATTTGATGAGTGCGTGTTTCGTTTTTATGACCTTCCTCTCTTGATGGATGGAGAAGTTGTTGTTTGTATATAAATACCTTGCCATTCACGTGTAAGAGCAATTCCAAAAGTATAATGTTTTTTTTCAGACACTATAAAATATAATATATTCTTGAAGGCAAACATAAAAAGAAGTGGTGTAGTATTATGCATGATACAAAAATTCTACAAGTTTCATTTGGGAATTTTTGACACTAACCGTGTTTGCTAAGAATTGTTTGAACTTATAAGATATTCAACTTATAAGATTATTTATAAGATATTCAACTTAGAGATTTTTTAATTACTATTGGGACTATTTTTAAAGCAGCAGCTGTAATATTGGACACGTATAGATTTATCGAAAAATTGGTTTCAAACCGTATTTCTAAAATGGTCGAAGTGAGAAATGAAAATGATATCTATAACTTGTTTTTGCGGCCATGCTATATAGTAATTTTTTGATATAAGTATTATAAGTAAACTACGATGCTTGGTTGTTTGTTATGCAACAAAGAAAAATGGTAAAAGTGACAGCTGTTTCGGAGATCACCACATCTCCTCATCAGACTTCGTATGGCAGGGATCGACCAACGGATCCTGACTTAACAGGCGAGTGTCCTACCCTTGCGCCAACATCAGCCATATAATCTATTGTTGTATTATTCAATTCATTATTAACCAACAACTATTAAGTGCGCTAATTTAGTCGCTATTTTCTTAACAGTTTGGTTAGTGAGTTGTGTTCGAATCCTCTATACTTTTAGGCGTTAATTGACTGCTTTGATATCTGCTTTTTTTTTATTCTCGATAAAGTCAGCGGTTAGATTTTAAAAATGTTGAAATTTTTACAATACATTTTAAGCATGCTCAAAAACAAACATTCTAAATCAATTTTAGGGGTTACATCTAGTTAGGAGCCCTAAAAAATTTGGTTTTTAAAACATTTTTCACGAGCAAACTTTTAGCTTTGAAGAGTTGTTAGCAATTTTTTTTTAATAAAAATAACAGTTTTTTAAGCTGCCCTTCAAAAAAGAGGTTTTGCGCACCCGCTTACCGCTTTCAAATGCTCTGACGCGACGTTACAATATGTGTGCAACTTCCAAAATAACAGTCGGATCGATCTAAATTATCTAAATTATTTTATGCTAAAATCAATGTGCAACGCCGAAGTTTGCAAAGAAGCATTTATAGAAAGATGAAAGTTTCTGGGACACCGTAATTTTTGCGGACGAAAGTAAAATCAACCTGTGTAGATCAGATGGAAAGAGCTATGTATCGAGAAAACAAATGGACCCACATATTTTTTTTTAGGGTTCAGATCTGGGCTCTAAGGTGGTGTGTCGATGACCTTGCCTCAGTTGTAATGCAGCCAGTTCCGCACATTAAGCTCCTTATGCTTAGTGTCATTGTCTTGATAAAATTTGTAATAAAAGCCAAATTGGGCGCTGGATGTCAAATTGGATTTCAAAATTTCTAGAATTTATGCTGCATTCATTATGTTCTCTACGAATGCCAAATCTCCGCCTTCTCGGCTTGCTATGTATCTCCAAATCATAACCGACAGTTCGCCAAATTTGACTATCGGTATGATGTTTGCGGTTCTCCAGCGCAGTTAGCGCCTTACGCCACATTCTGTTGGGTCCATCGTTATAATACAACATCATCTTGGTTTCATCGCAGAAAATCACGTTATCCCAGTAATCTCCTGGCTAATGTTGCATCCTGGTAGCAAAAGTAATCCGCTTTTCGACGTTAATTGCCGACAGCATTTGTTTCTTTCGTGCTAATCGTGATTTGTACTTATGCCGGAGTATGGCTTGGTGCACTGTTTAGTGCGACACATCCAGATCGCACTCCTCCATAAGCTCCTTAGCAACAGTTCTTAACAATATTTGCGGAATATCAAATGATATTTTATAAGATTTTCTTTAACGAACGAGTTTCGGTAGAGCTAGTTGCAAACTCTAGAAGTAGTTTGTCATCATATGTAAGTTCCTCTGCTCTTCCATTGTCCGAAGATACTGATGGCATTTTTCACCCTGCTCCTCATTAAAATCACACAGTTCATGTGAAAATCGGTCTAAATGTAACTGCAGGAAGTGAATTTTTCGCTCAGAATGCGTGCTAACTTTTGCAAGCTCTATATCATACATTTAAAGTGCTGGTTATAAGGTTTATTTTTGACTAGGAAATTACTCATAACAAAATCAAACTAATTACCAGCTGTACTTATATCTGTATCTTAATCAGAGCCTTTACTTGATTTATTTTGCTAAAATTTACAGGAACTTGGATCATCTAAATAGATGTTTACTAGACCATAAGTAGACATACATCACATTTCCGGCATACAATATATGGAACCCATGGTTCATGGTAGTTGCCGAGTTTTATTTCAAAGTATTGTTGTAACACAGTTTTTACAAAGCTCATTATATGATTACCATATATGCAGATATGTACATCCATGTATACATATACATTTGGTGTTTTGTTCAATGTTTGATGTTTTCCACCAAATGGATAGAGCTAAAGTTGATTTCGAGCTGCCTCCGAGTGGCGGATGGTTTTTTATGTTGATCGAATCAGGACTCGAACGCCTGTGCATCAGAATGTCATACGTAAAGCTAACCACTCGGCTATATCTTATATTCTCCTCTTATATTGTATTAGCGTTAACTCTGACAAATCCAGTTATAAGATATGTTGTCACTCATTTTGAAATACCTGTTAGAAAATCTGTGAATAATTTTAGAATCTCGGTATCTGCGTATATATATACTTTCTATTTCTCTCAAGGTATATATATGAAATCGCGGTTTTATTTTTTAAAACACATTGAATCAATAAAATCTTGCGGCTTGCAATGTGGGCTTCATAGTTTTTACTTTCCATTTAACCAGACAAGTTCTCCGGCTTGAACACTGCATTGCATATTGTATTGTACATTTATTTATTTAATTAATATCAATAATAATATCGGCACTTATTATGGCTGTATTGGACTTTCTTCGCAGGCTGTGAAAAAAGGAAGATCGGCTGGTTTTACTAATTTGTAAAAGGCATTCTTTCTTATTGGTGTTGGTAACGCAATCGCGATTATGACCGAATTGGCCCTAACTTAAAACAAGTAAGCTAGATTCTTCTCAACTTAATCTACTTACAAAATTTTCAGATAACTTCTTCAAGTTAAAAATAATTTAAATACAAGTGTACTGCGTAATATTGAAACAAATATTTGCTCCTCAACGTCTAAAAGCTTTATTGTTCATAGAAATAACACGCTTGTATTATCCGGAATTTGTAACTCTAAGACTAGGAAATTCAACTCTTCCAACTCTTTTATTGCGTCATGAACTCCACCCACAAATATATATATTTCTGAAACTATTTTTACTTTCTGTCTAACTAAAGTAAAATTTTTATATTTAAATTAACTCTTGAATTTTAATGTTATTCATTTTGGTCCAAAACATAATTTGGTCATTAACAAAGGTTGATTTCACTTTTCTTTGATGGGCACAGATATACATAACTCACCTTTTTAATTATTTTTCATTACTATTTTTCAGTTACCCTCATTGAAAGAGATTTATCAGTGCTTTTTTCTTGCTCTCATGTCTCTATCGTTCACAAACCGCGCATGCTCGCACCAGCTCCCCAATTTTAACTAAGACAAATTAATAAATGAAATTAAAAACGTTACTTTTTTTTGTCATTTTAATTCTACCCTAGCGGTTTTTTTGCATAGTAAGTTTTATT